TAGGGAAGGGTGGAGGGGGTGAAGGGAGGGCAAGGGCAGGGGGAAAAAAAAGAACCAAGATACTCACGTAAAGGTACAAGATCCCAATGATGAATGTAACTGTATTTTATACCGAAAATGTACCAGTAAACTTAATGGGATAAAACCCCAAACAAACCACACACTGGTGTTAGAATAGTATGCACCAGTGACTGGGCTTCACTGATGCTGCAGGTTCATTAATCAGAAACTCAGAAGTAAGAATGAAAGAAATGATTCCAAATCCTTAAAATGTCACCACCTCAAAATGTGTTTCCACCATCTGGCATGATTTTTTGTTTCTATTGTGCACATGTGGAGAAGTACAAATTCTAACAGCTCTATAAATATGGAAGACAAGAGTCCTCTTTCATTAGAGTAGACTGGCAAAGGTCGGGTGGGCACTTGAACAACATGCTTTGTTAGAGAGAACTTAGAATGGATGATCTTAAAATTTGAGATCCTATTGTAGGTCTAAGGATATGATGCTTTATAATGCTTTAAATTTCACTTAAAATTTACTCCACGAAAGCGTTTCTATGCTAGTATTTCTTCCCTAGCATTAGAAAAATGATAGTGTGAATTCTTTTAAAAATGCATTATTGTCAAAAACTGCCAACAGAGATTCCTGGATCTGTGGATCTACTTGACAACTAGTCTTTTCTCTCCCTTTTTAGTATGAACAAATGTCCAGGATGCTATCTTTTGTTAAGTATGCTAAAATAAAATGTTGAGATTTGTGGATAATTTAATTTAGGAAAACAGTGAAATTTAAGGTTGCCCCTGTGAATGACACTTACGTTCACAATAGTTCTTTGCTTAGGAAAAAAGGGGATGGACAACCTTGGAAATGCTTACTCAGGGAGCTATTTCATGGACCAACAAGTCAGCCTTCACTTATGTTGCAGCTGGAAGAAAGATTTAGAACAATTGCTCAGGTCAAGCAAGGGCTTCTCAGCCTGGGCCATGGACCATCAGCATCATTGTCATTTGGGATAATTAAAGAAGCAATTTCTCAGGCCTCAAAACAGACCAACTGAATCAGAATCTCTAGGGCTATGTTAATCAGCTTTCCATTGCTGAGGCAAAATCCCAGACATACACAGCTAAAGGGAGAAGACTGTATTATTGGCTCACAGTCTCAGAGGTTTCAGTCCACTGTTGGCTGGCTCTGAGGCAGAAGCATCATGGTGGAAAGGCATAGCAGAGGAAAGCTGCTAATCTCATGGTAGCCAGAAACAGACAGCAAGGAAGAGCTTGAGAGGAAGGTGCTCAGAGATCATATATAGTCCCCAAGGTTACGACCCTATGATCTACCCAGACCCCCCCCCCCCCCGCAAAATGTGCTTAACTAATCTAGGTATCACTGAGGCCAATCAAGTTGACAAGATTACTATCACAGGGTTGGGACCCAGGTATCTATTTTCATATGCTCTCCAGGTGATTTTAGTGCTTGCTAAAATCTGAGAAGCACTGCTCTTATCCAACATCTCCTGGGAACATATTTTGAAACCATCGGCAGCCCCTTTTCATTGGGCCTTGGCAGGTAATAGTGGAAATGCTCCATAGCTCTTTTAAATGTTAAAAGGCCACAGAGATGGAAAAACTAAATTATTAAACAATGAATTCTTGGATAAAGCCATGTGTCTTAGAACTGGGAAAGTATTAAATACATTTCCTGGTCCTGTTTCCTGTGCCTAAGTAGGTAATTATACAACCTTGAGGTCTCACAGTATTTCTTGGTTTTCTTTCCCTTTTGGCTTAGGCAAGCAGTTGTTGAATCAGCCACCCTGGAGCTGGGCCCAGCATCTTGTGCTTTAACAAGCCCTCCATCCAGAAGCACCTGCAAGTTCAAGAATCAATGACTACAATTTCCATCAATTTTCACACCTGTATGGCAATAGAGGGCCCTAGGGATTCCTTATGTTAGCCTTGTATATGGGGCCCCTGTAGCTGGCTCCTGGCAGCTGCCCTTCTCAGCCACCCCTAGTCCCGATTCCAGGTGGGAAGTGCAGGTCAGAGAGTGGGACCTTGATATTCATACCATAAATCTAGGAGACCAGAAAGCAGAACACTTGCTGAAGTGGTCATGGAAACCTAAGATGCCCCAGCAAGGCCAGGCCTTGTGGCCTATCAGGGCTTATACATCCTCTCTCCAGAGGAAGGCCTGTCCTCCTTTTTCAAGGTGGAGTCAAATTTAACATCTTGTAGAGACCACAGGACTCAGGATCCCCAGGATGGCTACTAACTGCTTTCTTTTCAGATCAGTTTGAGGAGGCCTTGACTAACAAGTGTATTTTTCCAAAGATATTTGGACCTACAGTGTGAAGAAAACTGTAAAAACGGATGAAAGGAATGATGTAAAAACCCTGAAGACAATAAAGCTAGGAGTTGGGGGGTCATTAACCTTCGAAGTTTCACGGTGGGGTCTGACAAGGTTGAGAATAGGAAGAGGCAGGGCTTTGTGGACGGCCTCTCTTGTTATGCTGTGGAAAACACTGTGTTCAGGAGATGTGAGGGAGTTGCTGCTCATTTTTTGCTCCAGACTGACAGCTTTGGTTTTGCCTCTGCCAGAGTCATGTGAGTGCCATAACCTGCAAGATCTTGGCATTTGTGTTGAGCAGACAGGATGAACAGTTATGTTTGTGCTTGGAAGCGTGCCGGGACTTTCCTAGTGAAACGTGATGTCACACATCTTGTTTTCTTCAGCTAGAGGAATACATGATTCTTGCAGGGAGATGAAACCCTTCTGCAGAACATTCTTTACTGACAGATCTGCCCTCGGGCAAGCTTCAGCTCTTAAATATCCTTGAGGCACTTCTTCATACATATTTTTGCCCCCACTTCCATATGTCCCATGATCCCTAGAAGATGCCTGAAACAACAGATAGCACCAAGCCCTAAATACGCTTTTTTTTCTATACATACCCTCCTATGATAAAATTTAGTTTCTAAACTAAGCTCAATAAGAGACCAACAATAATAAAATAGAACAATTAGAGCAGTAAACTGTAATAAAAGTTGTACAAAACTTATGTATTATTTCTGGAATTTTTCATTTGATATTTTTGGATTAAGACTGACAACAGATAAAGGAGGACTACTGTAATCTCCATTTTTTCTCTCTTGATTATTCCTATTTACAGTGCTTTTTACTGAATTCAGGTTCAAAATGGTAAGATGAATATTTTAACTCTTCTCCCTCCAAAATACCTATTGAAATTTGATCAAAGAAGCATAAAATTTGAGGAAGTTGGGATGACAGGGCAGGGGGAAGCAGGGAAAAGTAACAGCTACAGGAAAGGAATTTGGAGGCATTTTTGGTAAGTAGAATAAGGTTGCAAATGAACGAAGGGATCATGACCTGCTCATGATTTGGTATGTGCAAAGGAACAAGTAAACAAGTAGGTGGAATTTCTAGCAAAGGCCTTCCCTGCCCCAATACCCAATACTTCTGGTCAACAGCTAGAGTGAGGAACTTATGGGCTTGTGAGCCTGTTACACTTGAGTTCAAATCTACTACTTGAGAGGTGTGTGAGCTAGTCAGCCTCAGTATCATCCTGTTCATGGGGATAATACCTACTTTATAAGATATAATAAGGATTAAATGAAATAGCATGCATCATGAAACATAGCTGAAAGTTTAGCAGTGATTGTTTACTACTAAATGTCATGCACAGTGCTAAAAGCTTTACATAAATTATCTCTAATATGCAAGAAAGTTCTATCATGTTGATCTTATGCTAATCACTATTTTACCAAAGAGTCAATTTTGAGAAGTATTAAGAAACATGCTCAAGGTTTACAGCTATGAAAGGAGTAAAGTAGTATAATAGTTTGGATTTAAAATGTGCCCCATAGGCATGAGCTGGGCACTTGGTTGCCAGCTGATGGGCTTTTGGATCATGAGGGCTGTAATCTCACCAGAGAATTAATCCATGGATGGATTCATAATTTGATGGGATTATTGGGAGGTGATGGAAGCTTACAAAGTAAAGTTTGTTGAAGAGAGTATGTCATGGGGGCACAACTTTGGGGAATATATCTGGCTCCTCATCCCTTCCTCTCTGGATCTGGCTCTTTCTCTCTCTGCTTCCTGGTTGCCATAAAGTGATAACCTCTTTTGCCACATTCTCCAGATGCCATGATATTCTGCCTGACCTCAGGCTCATAGCAGCTGACCAGCTGATCATGGATTGAAAGCTCTTAAACCCTGAGCCAAAATAAATCTTTCTTCCTTTAAGGTGATTTTCTCAGCTATTTTGTTGCCGCAATGGAAAGCTAACACAAGAGTATGAAGCAGTCTAAGAACAGAACCCTGAGATATTCTGCTTTTAAGCCTTAAGCTATACTGTTCCAAGCCCTTGAAATGCATTGCAGTTAGTCCTGTATACCCACAGGTTTCACATTCTCAGATTCAACTAACCATTGATTCAAAATATTAAAAAAATTTTCTTGTATTTATTCCCTAAACAACACAACAATGATTTATATAGCATTTGCATTGTATTAGGTAGTATGAGTAGTCTAGAGATAATTTAAAGTATATAGGAGGATTGCATAGGTTAGATGCAAATGCCACACCATCTTTTAAAAGGAACTTGAGCATCTGGAGATTTTGGTGATTGTGGGAAGGATGATTGTACTTTAGTCCTTATAATAATATTTCAGTAACCATTTTGAAAATATAATAGAAATTTAGGAGCCAAACAATTTGAGGTTATACAAATATTTGAAAGTGAGGATGACTGACTCCAAGAATCCTGCTCTTTTGTACTCCACTATTGTATAAGTGATAGCTACACACTCTATAGACTAACATTATGTTTCCTGACTTTGTATTAGATTATATTCTCACTGAATATAAGGAAGTGGTGATGAGGAAAATTTCAAAATGTGACTCCAGTAGCTTCCAAGTCTTTGAAGAAGTGAATTATTGTATATGTGCATGTATCTGAATTGTCTACATTTCTTGCTGGCAGGATTCACAGAAAACATTGGACTTCTCCTGAACCTGCTTGAAAAACATGACCCTTGGCCAGCTTATGTGACATATACCTCTCCAATGGTGCAAAGACTCATTGAGAAAAGCAAAATGAAGGAACTGCAAGGCATACGTGCTTTTGAGGAAAAACAACAGGCACTGAGGCCAAACAAGTCTTCCAGCTGAAATGGAGAAATTCATCTAAGTCTTCTGGTGAAGGGTTGAAAGATGTGCTGTTAGATCCTATGCTGTCAATGTGGGGGCCTTACTCTGTATCAACCTTGGGTCCCACTGTTGTCCCAGAACCCAAGCACATACAAACAGATTCCAGAGAAAGTTCCACTGCAAACTATAACAAGATCATTTTCTCTCGAAAACCTATGATGAGGATGCTTCCCTACCAGGTCACTACAGTCCAGCAAGAAGAAACATGAAAATGTCTAACAAGGAGTCCCTGCAGCCATCCCTGAAGAATGTACTGCAATTAAGCTCCATTTGCCATAAATTTCACTACATCCTTTAAATCTGAAATTGCTCTTTTATATGCAGAGGCTGGTGGAGAGAAACCACATCAGAATATGGGCCATGGGTGGGTGGGTTCCTCCCTTCCATCACTGTAGTCTGCTGGGTTCAGCAGTGAAAGGTGCTAGTTTCTCCCACAGATGCTGAAGACTCAACTGTGGAAGTATTAGTCCAGGTCCAGGCAGAAGGGTAGAAATCATACCAGGTATTCTACTAGAGAGAACTTAATAGAAAGAATTATTAACCAGGTAACTAAAAAAGGCAGAAAGAAAATCCAAAGGTTTAAGTGGGGACAGTCCCTGCAAGAAGCAGTTATTCCTAAGGTGGAGGGAGCAAAGGGAAGTTAGCTACTTGGAGAAGGGGCATGTGGGCTGAAGCTCAGATTTTCTGACGTGAGGGAGTGAGGATGCTCAGCTAGTCCTAGTGGCTGTCTCTGATCCTCTGAAGGTTGGTATCCCAATTCCAAGAAGCAGAGCTCTTTTGGCTGGTGTCTCTGAGAGGACAAATGTAGAGCTGGTTCTGTGAATATTGGAAAACCCAAAAACTGGACTCAAGTTCTTCTGGAAGAAGTTGTCACTGCCTGGGTAAGCAAAAGGGGTTAGTAGGCAAGGCTGATAGGGACAAGAAGCTGACAAAAGGCAAACAGGATGCAATTCAGAAGCAAACAACCTGAAGAGTAGGCCCTTCCTCTTCCCTGTACCTGTGCAGGCTTCTGCCCGCTAGGGACAGAGTGTATCAGGGCAAAAAGCAGGAATGAGATTTTCAGACTCACAGCCCTAGCATCTCCAAACAGTATAAAAGGATGGATTTTGAAGCCAAAAGAGAAATAGCTTAGTAATCAGCATAGCGTGGTTCTGGTGCTCCACATGGCCTCTGAACCTAGTATTGAAGTGTTTTTCCCTGGAAGGTCTTACAAAATGGTAGTAGGGATGTCAGAGGGGCCTCTGCTGAGAAATGGAAGAGGTCCAACCCCTCTCTCCCCCATCCCCATTCTTCTTTCAGGTTTGCCTTATGGAGCACAGCTGGTTGGGAGGGAGAAGTTCCTGAGTTCCTGGCTGGACCCCAGTTGTTATTTGTCAGATGACTGCTAGAATTGGCCCACCCATGTTCTGAATTGGTCCCAAAGCAAGCAATGACGAACTGTCCTCTGTCTTTCAGTAGACAAACTGTCTTCAGACACATGAGGATTTTGTCAGGACAGAAATCAAACTGGTCTGTTGTGTGGCATTTAACTGCCGAGCATGGTTGACCTTACCTGAGTTTCTTGTTTGCACTGCAAGGCAGTTAATATCATTCAGCTTCCCCCTCAGAGGTGTACGGGACCTGATGCACTAATAGATGTAAGTGTCACTTGAAGAAGTTATATTTCTCCTACAATACATGTTTTCTATCCAAGAGTCTTATGTAAATGTTTAAAGTCAGATATGGGTGCGGCTTTGTAGAACTCATCTCTGGTTCCTGTGTGTTTGTGTTGGGACAGCTGGACAAATTAGGAGCTCTGGACTTGTTCCTGGGTTCCCAACCCTTGGTCAGAATGAATTCTTACAAAAAAAATAGGTGTTTCCAGATGAATCTCATGAATGTATTTTGTGTCTATGGAATATTTGTAGACCCGGAATCAGGTGATAAATTCCTCCAAGATTTAAAAAACCTTCTTTATCTCTTTACAGTTATTTATCCCTAACATATATTTGGGACAGTGTGGATTATACAATTGAGTGTTAGAGTTAATAGAGTTTGGGGAGTAGGATTATTTCTTCCAGTCCCTTTAAGGGCAGGGGAGAGTGGTAATTTACTGGTTTGCACTTTTTGTTTTCTTTAAAATTTCTAGGTATTTAGTAGAATTTACAAAAGTATGTGCTACAAATTCAAATAATTTTTTAATATATAGCATTATTTAGGTTAATCTAATTCTTAGCCTATTATAACAATACAGACATAAACCAAGGACATCATTCACACCTTATGCTCTATGAAATCTGCCTGCATTCTGTGGCTACAGTCTAGACACATTGCCTCTTGAGGCATCTTTAAGAGAGAAAAGCTATAATTCCTTTTGAAATAGGGAACTCCCAAACTGGGGCTCATGGGTCTCGCTAGCAAATGGTTCTGGCCAGCCATGACCACATTCACATGAGGACTGAGGAGGCTGCTGGGAAAGACTTCTCCTGGGAGATAAATAATCGGGTAAGACCAGCTGGATCCACTGATGAAACCTTGGTCACTGGGGGAGGAGGATGATCCTGAGTGACCCATGTTATCTGATGTTGAGATTTGTCTCCTGAGCCAAACTTTTCTGAGTGCTCTTGGGGGAGGGGGCAGTGAGTCAGTCTCTCACAGGGCTCTTTCACTAAAATCCTGGAAGACCCAGAAGTACTAAAGCAAAATGAAGGGGGAGCTTGTTGACCTCATAACCCACCATTTCATATGTCCCACTGCCCTAGTTGTGACATGAAATAGCCAGGTCTCATAGAGCCCAGTGAATAGTTGGCAGGGACAGCTTTGTTCCTGAGAATCACAGAGACATCTCTGGTGCTCCCTGAAATAGGCATGGAGCCCTTCCTGGGGCCTCTGCCCTTACACAAGCAGGCAAAGCATGCATGGAGTGGAATATGGATTATTCTCATGTAACCTCATCTGCCTGTCCAAGATTGAGAGGACTGGAGTATCTCAGGTTACCCTGAACATATTTAACTTCCATCTCAAAGAGAGAATTGGCTTTCTCTGATATCCACAGCCCACAGCCTTTTCTTATTTATGTCTTTTGCATATGGCATTTTCTGCTTGGCAGGAGAGCTACTCTAATAAGTCTCTCTGCCTTCGTAGGTTTATGAAATACCAGAATATGAGTTTTGTTAGCCTGTCTGTGTTTCTCTGTAACTAAGGCCCTGTTCTAACACATATCAAGCAGCTGTTTTGAACAGATTCTTTGGCTCTCTGTGCATAATATGGTATTTACCCATTTGCAAATTCCATGGTTGATGTTTGAACAGTTGATGTTTAACTTCAACAACTTGACTGAGCCTGTTGGTCATTCTCACTTTGTCCGGTCTGTTAGGATGTCAAACAGATCCACATTCCGCAAACTCCCTAGTGTGGCCTGAGATCATGTCTTGATGGAGATAAGGCCACTCAACAGATAAGACGCTACTGGAATCTTCATGGCAGTAACAGCATAAACAAAGGTACTGGTGCAGGTGTGGGTAAGCCAGATGTTTGAGGGTGGCCTGGGAGCCCTAAAACTTGGAATGGGAGGCTGGGGTGGGACTTAAACAGAAGTTATAGACTTTATTAGCAGTAAGTTTGGAGTCTTACAGAGATGAGATCAAATCCTACTCTTCATTTTGTTTGCCCCAAATCCTTATGTAGGAGGAGTTTATAGGCATAGGGAAAACAAAATGATTACCCTGAGGCAGAGGTTTTCATCCTTTGCCCTTGCTGGTGTTCCTTTTGGGGTAGCTGAGAAGTAACACGAAGCAGGGGGCACAGCACAGGACAGAGTCCGACTAGGGCCTGGTAATGCATCCATGGATACAGAGCTAGGAGTAGAAGTTTGAGCACATGATTGTGTCAACAGTGGCTGTAAAAAGATTGCAAAACTGCCTTGTAAGCTATATGAGTGCATACCATGTTAGGCTTTACCATGTTCTGAGTCATTCCATCCTAGGAATCCGCACATTTCCAGACCAAAGGGCTGGAGCCTGGACATTGTCAGAGCCAGATAAGAAAAGACAGCCTATAAAACCTGGGGAGAAGGAGTTGGGAAAGAAGTAAACAGTGCCCTGAGATTTACTGTGATCTGATGTTGTCTGAGCCCAGACTGAAGCTCAGGATTTCTGGATTTCTTTTGGCCAAGAAATCAGGAAAAATTTCCTTTTCCTCTTTCCTTGTTTCCCATTACATTACCCAAGGTCTCAACCAGCTACTTAGGTACTTGGAAATCACAGGAGGATTTCTTAAACTTGTAGGGCATGGCTGGACTGGGCATGAACATGTATGAGGTGTTCCTTGGGATGTGTTGTGCAGAGCCAGAAGGTGATGCGAGAGTACCCCCCACTACTACCCCCATTCTTGGTCCTGGCCATGACCTGATTTCTCCATGGGGCAAGGCAGAAGATAAAGATGAGGAGCTATCTCCCTGTTGACACACAGAGCCAGATAGCAGCATGAAAAAGACTTTGAACTTGGTGTTCAGACCTTATCTCTTCTCTGACTTGCCATATTCTAGGGCCAATAAAAATTCCTATCCTACATTATGCTTTCTAGAGAGCATGAATTGCGGGGGCCTAGCAAAGGTCGAAGTATCCATTCATTTCCTTTCTAGATTCAATGGTCCAGCCACCTAGACTATTCCATGAGTTTTGGTAGACAAAAGGTGGTGAGGAGCCATGATACTTCAGGCAAGTTAGAGACCCGACTTCTGGGATCACTTTTGCACATACACCATGCAGGAGGATTTTTGTGGAGAGCAAAGTCAGGACAAGGGCAAGTTACAGCTGAAGGGAAGTTGGCCTGAATATATGCAGCTCCTCTCCCACACTTTTGGAGCTTGTCCATGTCCATTTTACTACCCAGAGACTTAGGGCCATGCTCACCTAGCTGACTACGTAATTCCTGAATTAGGGGAACCCCTTTAGGATTGGAACTCAGGCCCCTCAACTCCAACTGCAGGCTGCTGTTTCTATATTCAGACCTCCTCCTCTTCTAGATTTTATCAGTGACAATCCTGCTGGTGTCTAAGCAGGGCATACGTGTTCTGTGTGTGGCTGCTGGTGCAAGGGTCAGCAGTGAATTAGCTTCAGTAGAGACCCCTCTTCACACAGTTACTTTGCTCTGTGTCCCTGGACCTGCAGGTGTGGGATAGTGAGGCTAAATGCTGTAAACCTGGGCAACAAGGCTGGTCACATTCACTGGCACTTCACCAAAGCCCGTCTATGTCTGGCACAGGCTTCGTGCTCAAGTATTTACTGAGCAAATGATTTATGAGAGCAACTCCTAATGTCCAAAGCAAAACGCACTGGGAAGAGGTGGTTTCTTTCCTAATGTCAGGGGCTGGAAAACCATTTGGCTGTTGTATAAATTTTGAGACACTGAGTACATAGCCTTGCCCTGAAGATTCCTTCTAGTTGTGACAATATGATTCAAATACAATATCCACTGGGCACCTTTTATGTGCCCTTTCTTGTAGGATATCAGAAGGATAGAAGGAACTAGAGGCATAATCTCATAAAACTGATCTTTAGTTTTTCTATTCTTTTAAATGGCCAATCCATACCCACCTAAAAGAATTCCAAGTTATTCTTTCTGTAGTCTTTATCAGAAGGGGCATAATTTCACAGCCCTAACTTGTTCTTTTGTTCTGGTATTTGCAGCATGTTGACAGGCATCCATCAAATATACACTGAATGCTTGCTTGTGTCAGGCAGCATGCTTGAGGCCCCGTCATGGACATGGGAGACATAGGTTTATATTTTGGCAGTGGGGACATCATACAAGCACACTATTGGTACATAGTTGTGATATATATTATGCAGAAACCTGAGGCTCTGTGAGAGTATATTTGTGTTAGACTCATGACCTGCTCTCTCAGATTCATGAAAAGGGGATTACGGATGGAGGCAGGATTAGTATCAGGACAGCTGCTCATAAAAGAGAGTGAGGTCATGGCAAATTTTTGGCCAAGTTGAGTTTTAGTGGCCTGGTGAGTTTTTAAAACTTCTGCAAAGCTGCCGTTAGTTATATTCAGCCCCAACTTACATGTTTGTTTCTGTAGCACCATGGAGTTGATCCCTAGCTTGAGCTGGCTTTAGGTGAGGGCATCTTGCTCTACACTCTGGTGACAACTTAGAGGAAGTGCCAAATGTTTGCACACTGTTCCAGAGCCATTACTTTCTGCTTCCCTTTCTGTCCTGGAATCCTGGGCTGGGTGGCTACAAAGGAGACCTTGAGGTCCCTTTAATGTCCTCTTTAGTCCTGGGACAGATGCCATCAGCATTCAGCATCCAGCTGAGCCCCACCTCAATTCTCTGATCCTCTAGAACAAAAAGACCAGTCTGTCTTCCATTTCTTCTCCACAACAGTCAGCTCCTGTTTTTTACTTTCTTTTTCAGGTTTTTGTAGGCTCTCTAGACTAGGGTATGGGGTGCATTTAAACATTGATATTACTTTTTATCTCCTTCTTCCTCTGGTTATATCCATTTAGTTCCTCCCTTTCTTTTTCTTGCTCCCTCACTTCCTTCCTACTCTTCTTCTTTCACTCTCTTCTTTGTTTCCTTCCCACTTTTTGCTGTCTTTTCTAACTTTTGATCTCTGTTGATTAATTTTTGTAATTGCAAAATTAAATGATATTTTTTGTAAGTAACTTAGGTTTGCTTGAAGTATAAGTGTCCAAAATGTCCCCAATTCTCTAAACTTTAGGATGAGCATGTTCCTTTAATACTCAGATACCAAGAGCAGGAGGCTTCATTCTGAGGACAACAGGAAGTTCCCAAGTACCTCCTGGAAAGCTCTGAAGAATGCTTGCATATTTCACACATCCATCCTACTGGTGGCCTGTCCCCTTGGCCATCTATCTCATTCCAGAAACAGATGCTTCAGGATCCCAATTCATTGCTGTCTTGATCTACCTCAACATAGCCATAGGATCCTCTGTAGCTTCTCAAAGCACAGATTGTAACAGCCAAGAAATCTGCTCTAAAGTCTTTGGGAGAAGCACAATAAATTACATTTGCTACCAGAAGTGGCTACTCTTGGGGTGGAAGGACAATCTAAATTTGATTTCTGTTTCCTGGTGAAGGTTAGCTCTACCCCTGACATAGATCTCAGTGGACTTGTATTAGTTTGATGTCTATACAGTTCCCCTTTCATCCTCGAGATGTTTGAGCTACCTCCATCTTACTTTACCTTGTTGACAGCTTTTCTATTTTCTTGATCATGGACAAATTCACTGGGAACACTGACTGCTTCATTAATGAGATATATTTAGTTCTCTTGTCTTGGAAAAGACAATCATGGTATTCAACAGGCTGTCTCCTTTTGCCTGCCTTGTTCAGTCTGGAATAACAGTACAGCTGGGGCTTCAAAATCATTTAGCAGAGCTGAGGAGTCTTATCTGGTCTTCTCCAGGGTTCTACCACCAGAATTTGGAAAGTTGTACCTTCTGGCCTATAGGTAGCTCAGACAGGCACACATAGTATCTCTACCCCTACCCCACCATCACCACTACCTCCATCTGCATCTCCATCACTGCCAGGGCAGGAGCCTCCATCCTGCATGACCATTACCACCACCAGTATTGCCACCATCAACAATACCTCCACTTTCACCACCACCACCACGACCTCCATCTCCATCACCATCACCAGGACCACTACCTTCAGTACTACCACTATTTCCACCACCACTTCCACCTTCATCCTTATATCTTCACCTTTACCACCACTGCCACCACCACCACTACTGCGTCATCCTCCACCACCACCACCTGTACCACTTCTGTTAGCTGCTAAGAAGATAATTTGGGGGGCAATCACCTATGCTTGTGGTGGGTTAGGAAGCTATTGCCCCTTTAAATGATTGTTTAATGCTCATTCAAAGTGTTTTTGTTGATTTGTTTCAGATAAAGCCCTCCAGAGAAACTTACAAGGCACCAGCCAAAATTTCGGAGTCACTGTGATGCACTCTTTTTAGATGACCTAGAGTAAACTTTGCTTATTACAATACTAATTCCCTGGAGACATTCTTATCTGCCACTTTGTAAAACCTAAAATGTATGACCTTGAATGCAGCATGCTCAGAAGTGTGTCCACCTCTATGTATGAAGATAAATCTTTCCTACAGAAATATGTGTATTGTTTCCTCAATAAAACCTTATTTTCTTTGGATAGGGGCACTGCTTTGAGATTGATCTCTAATGTTCTTGCTGTGGCTAATAAACCTTTTGTTATTCTTTTTATCTCCTGGTTGTGCTTATTGACTTTGCACTCACCATTGCTACACTTTCACTTTCATTTCCACCTGCACTTCTGTCACTACTCCATGGCCTTTGTCACTTTTACCATCCCCACCAGGGTGCCCGCCATCACCATTATCACCATCACATCTCCTTCACCTTTGCCATGCCATAGCCATACCACCAGCATCAGTGAAAGAAACTGATGACAGTGCAACTTTTACATTTTAAGAGTTTTTTTTCTAAAACAGCAAATGCACAATTGCAATAAAAGATTTGTTTTACATCACCTAACAGAACAATTCATATCTCCATGGGAGGCATCTACATTTAGGTTATTTCACTGACTTTGAACATGCTAAAATAATTCCTTATTTCCACAAAAATACACACTGTCCAAAGTGGTTCCTCTCAGAACAAAAGAAAAATTTGACTAAGATGAATGTTGAGTTTCTAGACTGTAAAGTTGGAATTCTTTCCTTTAAGTTTTTGGCTCCTTTGTTGAAGACCAAATAGCTGAATGTGTCTAGGGATATTCTGTATCCTCTATTCTGTTCCATTGATCCCCATATTTGTTTTTGTGCCAGTACCATGCCATTTTTTTTTTACTGCTGCTTTGTAGTATAACTTGAAGTCAGGTATTATGTTCCCTCTTGCTTTGGTCTTGTTGCCTGGGATTGCTGGGCTATTCTGGGTCTCTTCCAGCCTATTCAACAAATGGTGCAGGGAAAATTGGCTATTTGCAGAAAATTGAAGACCCATATTTTTTACCATTCACTGAACTAAAATTAAAATGGACTAAAGATATAAACATTGAAACAGGAACAATGAACCTACCAGAAGATAAAATGGATAAAATACTTGTAGGAAGGACTTTCAGAACTCTAGCTGCAGAAGAAATTACAGCAAGAATCAACAAATGGGATTTAAAAGCTTCTACACAGCAAAGGAAATAATTAGTAAAAAGACAACCTACAGAATGGGAAAAATATTTGTCCAGCTATTCCTCTGGTGGAGGAATATTTAGAATGTGTATCTAGAATATATAAATCTAGAATATATAAAGAACTCAAGAAATTAGTGCCCCCCAAATAAAAGACCCAATCAAGAAAAAGGCAAGTGAAAGGAATAGACACTTCTCCGATGAAGTACAAATGGCCAACAGACATATAAAAAAATGTTCAACATTTCTGGTTATTGTGTAGAAATGTAAATTAAAACAATGCTAAGATTTTATCTTGCACTAGAAAGAATGGCAATCATCAAAAAGTCAAAGAATAACAAATGATAGCATGACTGTGGTGAAAAAGAAACTCTCCTACGTTGTTGGTGGTAATGTAAACTAGTATAATCACTATGGAAATCAGTATGGAGAGTTCTCAGAGAACTAAAATTAGAAATTTCATTTCACTTTATTTCTTTCCAAAGAGCTAAAGACATCATATGTGCAAGCATGTCAATCTTTATAAGTAGAACAATTCATAATAGCTAATCCTGGAAGCAGCCTGTATGCTCATCAGCAGATGAATGAATAAAGAAAATGTGGTAGCTATACATAATGGAATGCTACTTGGCATAAGAAAGATAAATTTGAGACATTTGTATGAAAACCAATGCACCTGGAAAATATAGTGTTGAGTGGAAAACGTCAGATGCACAAGCTTACATACTGTATGTTATCTCTCATTTTAATAAGGCAAAATAAAAACAAACAGCAAAATACAGGATAGGTAGAAGGAAAGAAGGAGATAGATCTTTTGCAAGTGGGAAGAGTTCTAGGAGATTGAGGGTGAGGGGAGGAAAGGGAAGTAAAAAGATTCAAGATGTGTCAGGTACCAAATATCCACAATGAATGCAAACATATGTCCTAAACATGAACTAAAATAATAACAATAATAATGAAAATGGGGAAATGGGATTTAAAGATGGAAGGAGGGAGGTGGATGGGAAGGGAAAGGAGATTTAAAAAGAATTAACCTGTGTTCTGTTCATGCACCTACTCCTTAAGATGAATGTAAACTTCATGTGCTTCAAATATATACTAATAAAATAAAAAATAGAGATTTCAAAAAAGGAAATCATTTGAATTCTTAATTTTAGGCCTACAGATCAAAGAACCTACAAATGGAATGCAGGAGTTCATGAATTTAAAAATTACAGCTTTATTTTCAGTAGCTCTCACAGATTTTTTGCATTTCCTTCATACTTAGACTCTGTAACACAAATATTTTGATATCACAAAATAGTTGTATACCTTAAGATATTTTTGTTCATTGCTTTATGAATTCACAGTAGTCATTAGATTTGGTGCTATATCTGATTATTTAACATGTTACAGAAAACACACTATATTTAGCACATCTGTTTAAAAAAACTTTAGTTTTAATAAAACTGATTTTCATTTTTAGTCTTAGACATTTTATTTTAAACAAATCTGTTAAGAGCCTCAAACATAAGCTCAGTTTCCTCCACTTTTAACACCTTTTAGGCCATGTTTTTATGGAACATTTAAAGTAAATAATGAAAGATTCTCCATCTTGACATCTATTCCAAGAAATAATCTTAGTTTACAAGGATCAAGTTTACATGCTTGGCATATATACTTTTGAGTTCTTTAATTCAATGCAAATACACATTTAATGTATATATAATATACACTTACAGTAGCACCCACAGACTTATTTTTATTTTTTATTTTTTGGTACCAGGGATCGAACTCAGGACCTTATATTTGCCAGGCAGGCACCAGAACCACTGAGCTAAATCCCTGGCCCCATGTGCTTTGTTTTTTGCACTTAACATCTCTTCCAGTTGAGGAAAAATTGCCTTCGTTCTTTTGGATTGTTGCAAGATGCTAGAGTTTAGGTAGTCAGATTGGTTTCAATTTCTCTCTTGCAAAAACTGCTGCAGTGGATCTTACTCTTGCCACAGATAACAATTTATCTTCTCATGGCACTGGCTTGAGTGTCTTAGCAGCTTTCTAGGGTCTATTCCTGAGGAAGTTGAGATGAGTTGGATATGGTGTATGGGCGTTTATATTTGAGCTTCTTTTCCTGTAGGGTCTAGAGAAATATATGTGCCTGGAGGTGGGATAGTCCTACCCTCTACAATGCTCACAACAGGATAATCAGAGATCCAGGTACTCCAGTAACCTCAAAACATCAATCATGTTTCAAATCATGCTTTTGCAAAGATGGAATCTCACAAACATTCCTTTTGCTTGTCTCTGTTAACAAAACAATGTCCTCAAAGCCAACAGATAGAGATCTAAGTCATTCTTTTAAACAGCGGAGTAATGTCTCACAATAATCAATGCTTCCTCATTGATTTGATTATTTAACTTTCTAAAATTTCAAATCTTGCAGCACTGGTGTGATTTTTGGCCTCATTTTCCCTTAGACTTGGCTCAGTGTAACAAAGCCTTTCTCATCTGGTCTGGCAGCTATAATACCATAGACTCTATTTCTCACAGAGCCACACGTTGGGAAGTCTAATATCAAGGTACTGGCAGATTTGATCTCCTGAAGGCCCACTTCCTGATTCACAGATGACGCCGTCTTGCTGTCTTTACATGGTAAAGGGACTAATGAGCTCCCAGCAGCCTCTTTTATAAAGGCATTAATCCCTTTCATAAGAGTTCTGCACCATGACTTAATCACCTCCCAGGGGCCCTACCTCCTGATACCATCACCTAGCAGGTTAGAACTTCAGAATATGGATATTTTGGGGTCACAGCATTCAGATTATAGCAATGCCTTGCACAGCTGTTCCTTGGTATCTGCAAGGCATTCTTTCCAGGATTCAGCCCTGACCCCGCAGGGTACCAAAATCTGCACATGTTCAAGTCCTTATATCAAATGTACAGTATTTGCATGTAATTTATGTAATCTTTCTGTAGACTTTAAATCATCTTTAGATTACTTTTTTCACCTAAAGTAACAATGTAAATGCTGTGTAAATAGTTATTATTCTGTACTGTTCAGTCTGTGCACATTTAATATGGATTCAGTGCTTTTTTCCCCAGAATATTTTTCTACCCACAATTTGCTCAATAACAAGAGGGCTGATTGTGTTTATAGGACATACACACGTCTAGTGTTTTCTCTTACCTCTCTTGAGGCCTGAGGTGCTCTCAGACGAAGGGGACCTAGGTCAGGAGATGGTCTTAGGCTCACACAGCAGAGAAACTGCACCTTTCTCCTAGGCCTTAACTTTCCTCACCAGCCAGTTACGGCATCTTCTTGGGGACAGTGACACCCTCAATACACAACACAATACTTGCTCTGGATCAGCCTCAAGTTGACAGCTTAGCCATGTGTGGGTGGCACACACCTGTAATCCCAGTAATGATGGAGGCTGAGGCAGGAGGATTACAAGTTCAAGCCCAGCCTGACTTAGTGATACCCTGTCTCAATATAAACAATTAATAAAAAAAGAGGTTGGGGATATGACTTAGTGCAAAGGCCCTGAGTTCAGTCCTCAGTTCCATTGGAAAAAAATTGGCAGCTCACAGCAACTCCAAGGAGGGCATGGTGCAGCCACTTGCTCAAGGATATGTGTGTCTGGCAAACAACCATGGAATTCTGCCTCAATTAGAACCAGAACTCACATTTATTGGTGTGTGTCTTAGTTACTTTTCTCATTGCTGAGACAAAATAACCCAACACCCAAAGTTAAAAGAGGAAAGGTTTATTATAGCTCACAGTTTGTGGAGATTTCAGTTCACAGTTGGCTGGATCCAGGGCAGAATGGCATGGTAGAGGGGTATCA